ACTGTTCCTTACTAAAGATATAAGTGACTGAATGTTTAACACAAATTCTTACTGAATAACGAAAATGAATAAGCGATTCGTGCAATTTGCTGAAACTTCCAATTCCAAGAAAAAATGAAAAGCATTAGTGAATTTTGATGAAAATGGATTTGCTTTCGATATGATAGAGAACTTCCATAACATCAGAGAAACCTTCCTTAGATAGGGCAAATGAGCATTCGAGCACAACTCATTGGCATAAATTTCATATCAAAAAGCTATTTCAGTTTTTATGTGTTCCTTGACTTTTTATGTAGTTTCTGCTCATACCCGTAAGTGGATGGAGTATCAGGCGACCACGAAGCCTCGCGACAACTTCAACTTCAGCACAAACATCCAATCGACTATTCGATTAACTAAATAATTGGGCACGACCGGATATTCAACTATTCGAATAACTGAAGTTGCTTTTCAAACTAGTCTAATAGTTCATTCACATGCGATTCTCTTACTAAAATCGATAGTTTCGCAGGTATTTAAACGAACAAATATTTGATAATTTGGCACATACTCAAAAAAGTTTTTTTTGCTATTCAGAATTTCCAAACTACATTCAAATGTTTGGGTCCAATGTTTTTACTATTCGACTGCATTACTTCATGAAAGCAGAGCATTTTCATGTCTAATTGTACTATTTGTATTGTCTTAAAGTGTTTAAAAACACTTATGGCAAGAAGAAGGGGTAGGAAGGGAAGGAAGAGAGAGGAGAGGGAGATGCGAGAGTTGATGGAAAGGCCCTTCTTCCTACTTCTGTTTCTCTCTTTCCCTGCTTCCCCGCGAATTTGATGACATCGAAGTAACGTGAAGGGTGCGTACCCATATTCTACAAATACATAAGTGGTGAGTGAATGTATCTAAAAGAAGAACTACAAAGTGGTTGCATTGGAATTCATTGATAGTGAATTAAATCATGGCACTTCACGATGGTGTATCTTTAGGACAATTAGATTATCGCAGAGTACTTCAACTTGCATATTGTTTAGCGAAATTCACCTCTAAGGGAGACGTTGTTCCTATCTGGCAGGACACCAAAGATAATCCTGATGGAAGAGATGAGCATGCAAAGAAAGCTTTCGCAAACTCGCTAGTCGTAAGTTTCATCTTGTCTTAGTTCAACCGGAGACCCAGTATGTGAAAAAATTTTGGAAAATTTTCAAATGATAGCTTGTAAACTCTACAGTATTGTACTAAAAGTTCAGATTTCCGAGTATTTGAATAAAGGAGCTGAATGGGTCAAGTTTAAAAAGTCTGTCGTGGAGAGAATGCGACAACCACCGTTCAACTGTATAAAAGAGTGCTCAGATCCTGCATACAGCGTGGTAAGCTATAAAGAGAAGAAACACATCAAAAAATAGCCCTTTTTTATGTGACATAAAAAATCTTTTAGAAACGAGGTAAACTTTCCTTATAGGAAGAAGTATGAGATCAGGAGTATTTTGAGCAAAGAGTATCAAATCTTTATGAATGTGCAACGAAAT